ATAGGCTACGTTTACACCGTGCATTTAAGCCGCGGCCTATACGATAGATGTCCTTATTTATCCTGTATATTAAACAAAGACACCTATCGTAAGGTCGCGGATTAAGCGCACGGTGTAAACGTAGCCATTGATCAATTTTGAAACAGCGATAAAATGGCGATAAAAATGGCAATGACTATTTATTCGATTCGTTACGTACAAATGTATTGAATGTATCAAGTGATCGTTTTACGAAAATTTCAAGATTATATTTCAGGAAAATACGAGAGTAACGGACAATCATCTCGCGGATATTATTTTCCTCTCTCAAAATCGACTGTCGAGCATAATTGTACATAATTCACGTGATATCAGATGACCTACAAGGAGTTGGCTTGTAAAGATGAAAAGAAAAAGGAGTTTAAGTCGACAAGAATCTAGATATACTTACAATAGTCCATTAAATGTTTTTAGGAAAAGGTAATTTCTGACTGAATTAAATTTTTATATCAAAAGATTGCTGAAGACTTATGATTTTTATCAACCAGTGTGGTGAATCTCACTAGCTTGATAGACGATAAGGTACACGAGAAGAATAAGAGGTTATCTGGTGGAATGCAAAAGTTGAGTAAACAAAATGCAGCGGACTCCTCTAAAAGAAAATCTTCACGAAATAGTGTAATTGTCATCAATGACAGTGACAGTGAAAGAGATGATAGAAATCAAGATGCCTCGCTCAGCGTCATTGAATGTAGCTCAATACCGACTTCGCCTTTTCAGCAAAATAAAAAACTGAAAACTTTTACCAAGAAAAACACAAATAAATCGTCCGTAATGTCATTAGATAATGATTCATCTATACTTTGTTTGACAGATACACAGGAATGTTTAAATGGAGAAAATATAGGTGAGTTAACTGTGTGTGTGCACTTTTTAATAAAATTCTGATAAAAGAATTGAAGTGCTTTCTCTAGTAAAAGACACAGATGACAAAAGGTGCATTTCATTTATAATTACTAACACAAACATCGTTCTATCTTTGTTGGAGTTCCATTGGAACAAATGTACGATGTAAACTAAGCCACTGAGGCCTGGTTGTACCGTCACTTTAATTTTAAGCGAGGCTTAAAACTTTCTTTGTCCCTATCTCTTTTCAACTTTAAAACGAGACAATGAGTTTTAAGCCTTGCTTAAAGTTAAAATAACGTTGGTGCAACCAGGTCTGAATCATTTTATCTTTGTTTAACACTGACAAACAACAAGGCTATAATGAAATTACTATTACAATGCATCTACTTGTCTACTTGACATAAATGTCTATTAAAATATTGTTCTAAAGTAATATCTATATATCATGATATTTAGCACCATCACAAACAGAGGATGATGTGGTTGAGTTATGGTCATGTTTGAATTCATTAAATATGAGTAAAAACAAGAAAAAAAAAAGGAAGAAAAATGCAAATAAAAATAAAGATGTGAGACATAATCCTGATGAGACAAATGGGATGTTTGTGATAGATACAACACCAAATTTGAAGTATCTCAAATTTTTAAGAGATACAGATACATCCGAATATCAATGGAAAAGAAAAAGGAAACAAGATCTATCTTATAACAAAACTATAGTTAAATCGTTCGTCAAACCCATTAAGCAAAGTACATTGAAATGTTCAGATAACAGTCAAAGAAAAAGGCAACGTAACAATAATTGGAATTCAAATCCCACAAAATTGAATGTATGTTACAGTAACAAATTGCGAAAAGAAGCAGAGGAAACTCAGACAAATTCAGATGAAAATAGTAGAACAAATTCAAAATATAAATTAAGAGAGATAATTGTTGACGGTTGCAATGTGGCAATGAAGTATGACACTTTTTTTCTAATCACATACATATATATATATATATATATATTATTGATGAATTTTGATAAAATGCGAAATTAGTTAATTATATATACTTATAAAATTGATAAAGATTGCAATTTTATGTATGTCATTTTGAATTTCTACTTGAGGATATGATAATCTTTACATTTTAGCCACACACAAGGTAAAGAATTCTCAGAAAAAGGTATCCAAATAGTGGTAAATTATTTTAAAGAGAGGGGTCATGTCATAAAAGTTTTCTTACCACAACACGTTCGTAGAAAGGAATATACATTTCTTGAGCAATTATACAAAGAGGGCACAGTCATTTTTACACCTAGCCGCAAAATTGGTGGTAGACAAATTACATCTTACGACGATCGGTACCACATTTTTATTATATAAATAGAAAAATAGAACATATTTTATTATATTCTTTAATACAAAGTAGGAATTATTTCTATGTACAGTAAAATGTTTATATTTTTCATATAGTATATAATATTATAAATGTATTGTATATATGTATAAACGCATCTTTACAGAAATATAATCATTAATTTCTTTGTATTAAATAAAATGTTAGCAAAATGTCGGCAGATACAGCAGATTTGATCAGAAATATCAGCAGACTAACATCAATTGTGGACGCATTCTGCTCTTGTTCTATCAACAACTTTAGGATCAATTGTGTATTTCGAAATGAGATGAAAATTACAAAATTGAGCAAATTTACTAAAATATTTACAATTTCATTAATCAACATCTAGTAAATTTCTTCATTTTTATAATTTTCATCTCATTTTAAGATATACAATCGTTCATATAATCAGACAGTAGATTGGCAGCAAAAATGAAGCAGGATCTGAGCAAACTAGTAATAGAAACTGAGCAGAAGCTGTAAATCCTGCTCGGTCTCTAGGTATTACTAATCTGTTAGCATATCAGCAGGCTTCTGGTAACAGTTTGCTGACATCGTCAGATATTACAGACCCTGTGTAAAATTTTTGTGTGACAATGTTGCCTTTGTACTATCAGAAATTGATAGCATACTCTGTTCAAAACCTGTCTCTGCAGACTTGGCTAATTGGGCGTATTTTACATAAAATGTCTTAGTTTTATCTCAATTTTCTTATTTACAGCAAACTTATATAGTAAGTTATAACAGACTCTGTATTCTACTTTCGTTGTTTATTGTATTTAATTAATTAGAAATTTATGTCATTCTCTTACTTCAAAAATGACACAACTTGAAAAATTAAATTTCCCAGAAAAGGAGAAAAACTATTTTTAACTTGATAGAATATCATTAGCTAATTAAATAATAATGGCAAAAAGAATATATTCTTAACATGATCGAATACCATTGTCATTGTCATTTCACAATTCTTAAAAAAATCACCATTTTGAATTGTGATTTTAATGTTTTTTAAAACTCATTTTAAGTTATGATTTTGACGATTTGTAATAAAGTTAAATTATCACTTTTAATGATTGATAGGATAATATTTACTTAATTTATTCATGATAATAATTCGAAAATCGCGTTTTTTTAGTTGTGTCACTTTTAAGATATACAAGGCAAGGAAGCGATATATATATTTTAAACGCATATATACATAAAACGCAATAAAAATTTAAATCTTAATGTTTCCTCATTATTTCTTTTATTGCAGATTCATCTTGAAGTATGCGACAACGTGTGGAGGGATAGTGATTTCCTCGGATCAATACAGAGATTTGTATAGAGAGAAACCGGAATGGCGTAATACTATTCTGAACCGTTTATTGATACCCACCTTTGTCGGGGATTACATCATGTTTCCGGAAGATCCGTTAGGCAAATTTGGACCTAATCTCGAGAGATTTTTGCGACATTGATACAATTATAATGTTACCATAAATATTATTCTCAGGGAATGGAAGTAATTAGTTACTTGCAACGCCGGTACTTTTCTTACCGTTATTCTGTTATAATAACAATTTGATAGTGACGAATTTTTACAGATAAAGTAACCGAATAGTAACTCTTCCATTCCTTAATTATTCTAATTTGAATATCAGGACTGATTAATGTTTTGTTATTAAAAAATTGTGAATCTTTTGTACTACAATTTTATTTCAAATACTTATCTATTCGTTTTTCTTTTCTTTATATAAACCGAATATATGCTTTTTGTCATGTCAACTTAAAAAAATTATTCATATACGATTAAATTTTTGTAAATTTTAATTTTTTCTCCATAAAAGTGTATGTGCATTTTGGCATTTTTATGTGAATTGAATTATATGCTGCAAAGAAAAATGAACAAATGAATTAACTTTGTGTAGCATATATAAGTACAAAATACTGTGACATTAATTTATATTTCTATAATAATTATATTTCCATAATTTATATTTCCATAATTTATACTTCTATAACATATGTTTATATATATATAAGAGATGCACTTGTGAATAAAAAATAATTTATTTACAAAATTCTTTGCTATCGAAAAATGTTGTATTCTATTATACTATACTACGATAAGTATATGCGAAGTAAGTTAAAGAAAAATAAAGAAAGATTACAAATTTTATTTTTTGGATTGTACTTATATAATGATTTTCTTACAACTCTCATTTTTCACTTGAGTTATGAAATGTACTTATGTGTATATATATATATATGCGCGCGCGTGAGCGTGTGTATAATCTTACAAAAAATTTATAGAAAAAATAAACATACATTGTCGTCACGACAATGGCCTATGCTGGCCTCCAACAATGTTTCCCTGATTGATGAATGAAATCCATGCTTTCTTGCGCAGATTCACGTGCAAAACGTTGCATCATGTTTTCATTGTCGCTATTATGACGCGCATTTGATAATACTGCTTCATGTTGGAAGGCCGAACTAACAGCTGAAATAGTTTTACATAAGAAAGATAATTAGATAATATTAGAAAGATTAACAAAAATGTATACTGTATTTAGCTTTTTATGAATAAATAATTAATATTTGGATGTACATTAATATTATATATCGAATTAAATACTGTATAAGTTAAAGATTAAAAAATTAAATTAAATATATTGTTAAATGTGAAATATGTATCAATTTACTTGATTTGGCGAATAGTTTCCTTAATACATAGTTGTCGTCTGCGGTTGAAACTGATTCTTCTCTTTCAACAGAACGTCCCAGACGACGACCGATTAGACAAGAAACACGTTCTCCCTCAAACATTGCAGAAACATTTGTACTATTTAAATTTTTTTTGTGTTTTTTTCGTTTACGAGTAGACGATGACGTGACTTTATCGTCACTTAAAACAAATTTATTCTTCTTTTCCACCGAATTGTTATCTAGAGATTTCACTGGAACTACATTCTGTTCACAATTGTCTTTACATGTATTTTCATTTTCTATATTACTATTTCTTTCCATATTTGCATCAGAATTCATATCGAAGTCTTCATTACATTTGCTCGGAGACTTTTGTGTATTATTTTGATCGAAAGATAAGTTTTGGTCCACAAGCACATCATTTTTTGCAAAAGCATCGATGCGTTTTGAATTATCATTTTGTTCATCACATTTCTCTTTGTAACTGCTATTATTTGCATCTTCATTTTCATCGCGCATCGATTTTACACTAGCGGTTATTTTTTTACTGAGAATCGATGCTAACTTTTTCATCTGTTCGATCTTACTGAGAGAAAAGCCACTGGGTGTCAATTTAGATTCTCTAAATAAGCGATCCGATTCTGAAAACTCGCCGGCTATCGGCTCATTCAGATTAAATAACTCCACCAGATCCGTCGGTTTAAATAGTTGACGTTGGTGTGGCTCATCGAGAACCTTATTCGAAAGTAGTAACTTGAAGATCTGTCTGTGGTACATCTAAAATGAGAGAAGCAAGTTATTGTTACCAAACTATTTGATTAAACCTTACAAACGTATCGTTATTCATACATATTTTTTACCATTAAAATTGGTGGAACTTGATAACCTTGATGTTACCAACCTTTTCCTCAATTGTGCCAGCAGTAATTAATCTATAGACAGTGACTTGCTTATTCTGGCCTATTCTCCATGCGCGTTCTCTCGCTTGAGCGTCTGTGGCTGGATTCCAATCGGGATCGTAAATAATCACTCGATTCGCACCGGTTAGATTTACTCCCAGGCCTCCTACGCGCGTTGTTAGCAGGAACACAAAATATGACGAGTCCTTTGGAAAGAAAAAATTAATTTTTCAAGTAAGTTATTCTTGCTATAAATTTTTCAAATAATTAACGTGTACATTGTTAAATTTGTGAATCGTTTGCTGCCGTTGAGACATTGCTGTTGTTCCATCCATTCTCAAATAAGTATATTTTTCACGTTGCAAAAGAGATTCCAAAATATGCATCATCTGTGTACAAAGAAAAATAAGTACGGAAAATAGTTTATTTGGCTGGTCAATTATGTGATAACATGTCTAATATAATAATTCTAATAAGTAATTTGAATAATTCGAAAAATACAGTAAAAACTGAGTATTTTTGTAAAAAAAAAAAATTTTAAATATGTAATATTATATTTATTTATAAATATCTCTTAAAAGTATTCCATAATATTGATATTTTTGAAATTCGACGAATAAAAAAAATGTATGTTTTCTATATATTAAAAAAAGGATCATATTTACCTGTCTTCCCTGAGTAAAAAGTAGCACTCTATGACCTTGCTTCTGCCAGATTTTCAAAAGAGATCGAACCACTGTCATTTTTCCAGCACGTTTATAATATCCGAACTTCTCTATTTGTTCGTCGGACAAATCGATATCTTCATCGGACTCCTTAAAAAGAAACAAGATTTATAATTTTATAAATAAAGTGTTATTATATTAGTTGTCTTACTTGTTCTCTGGTGTACAAAAATAGATCCGGATGATTACATATTTTTCTCAATGCCGATAAAGCAATGAGAAATCTTGCCCTGTATCTTCCGCTACCATAATAATTTCTCTCGTGAAGAATAAAAGAAACATCATCGGAGCATAAATATTTTTTATACAATTTCTTTTGCTCATCTGTTAAGCTGCAAAATAATACCTGAAGAAAAAAAACAGATTGATTCGTTAAAAATAGAAAAGATCAATATTTCTTTGTTTTCTGTGAAAAAAGGCTAAAAATGGAAGAACAATAATTGTCTGCAACAGAGACATATCTATTGTAAAAAAGCAAAGTGAACCTGTTCATTTTTCTCCGGTAGGGTGAGATGATGCTTCACATCAGTCTTTGTTCTTCGAAGCATATATGGTGTAATAGTGTTTTTCAGCATAGTGGCTATTTGAAGAGCCGTTGCTTCCTGCAACGGCGTGGCGTTTGCGTAACCACCACGTGTTATGGGGATCGCGCAATGTTCTATAAATACAGGTAGTGTACCCAATTTGCCGGGTAGAATGAAATCAAACAAGGACCATAGTTCCTTCAGAGAATTTTGCATTGGACTACCAGTCAGCAGCAATCGATGCGGAGTGGCAAATCGTTTCACCGCTCGGCTTACCTGTAAAATAATATAATTTAATTAATATGAGAGATAATATTTGGAGTTTTCTTGTAATAGACATTTATTATATATCAATTACTAAGTTTATTAAATAAGGAAATTTTTATAGTAATATACAAACGTAAATGAAGTAATTCCATCCAATTTTTAACAAGTAATTACCTTTGCTTGTGGGTTACGAATCTTATGGCCTTCGTCCAAAATAACATAATGCCATTGACTAGACATAAGCAAATCTTTGTGTTTAAGGACTCCGTTGTAAGAAGTAATGAGAATTCCACCAGTTTGTAGAGATTCTATTAAACTTTCTGGATCACCTGAATGAGAATATCATACTTGTGGCTGATATCTTAAGGAATATATATAAATTATTTACTTACCATTGTAGCCACCAGAATGGTGAAGCACAACGACTCTGAAGAAAGGCCACCATTCGTGAAAATGCTTCACCCATTGCTCCATTAAAGTAGCAGGACACACAATTATAGTCGGGCCTAATCCTCTGTATCTGTTCATTGTAAATAGAATATTTATTTTTTTTCAAGTGCATCAATACATTTATAACATAAATATAACAACGAATACAAATAAGAAATAAAATGATATACAAGTATGTATCTTTCTTAAGAAAAAAAATGTTCTGTAGATATTTTGTCTTAATTGATGTAGAATTTACATCAATTTACATCAATAGAAGTACGAAAATGTACAATACCTTCCATGGTAAGAGAGCAATTCACTACAATCCAAACCCGCAAGAAATGCAATAATCTCCACAGTTTTTCCTAATCCCATCTCGTCACCCAACAGACCGCCTAATTTACGGCTATGTAATTCCCAGAGCCACTTAACCGCGACTTTTTGATACCTGGTTATAAAAAAATTTATAATTGAAGTTACATATTATATACATGTATATGTAATCATATTAATTCTAAAAGTATGAAACTAAATATTGAATTAATTCTAATACAGAAAATCAATCCATGTCAAAATAATTCATAAAAAGATCTGAATATAAAATTTAAATTATATTTATATTTATAAATAAAAAATTGTAAAACTCAACAAAATAGCATATCTACCTGTATAATTTTTCCCAAATGCATTGTGGCATTTTAAAGAGAGTATCAATTTTGTGCATTGCTTCATCTTTGGGATAAGTATTTGTTTCTATTCTCTGCTTGAATAATTGATTATCTCCATCATCTCGAGCTGGATAAATTTAAAAAGTAACAAGATCAAAATAATGAGTAATAAAACAATAACAACAGCAAAAGGATCAAATAATTAATCAATTGTAAACGATGTGTACTTCTTTTTGTGCGGATGCAGCTGGATTTGACTGAAGTTCTTCTTTTTTTACATGATGCTTTAGCCTCTATATCTGAAAAAGATTGTTTAGCATATACTCTTTTGAGTTTATCTAAACAGATCGAATATCAATATTACCGGAATCCACTTCATTATCACTGGGAATATATTCGCTTTCTGAACTGTTGTCAGCAGTCTCATTTATTTCATTGGAATCTGTCTTGTCTATACTTTGCACAGTTATATCTTTGCTATTCTCATGTTTAGATTTTTGACATTTTTTATTCGTTCTTGTATCAGTATCAAGTAATTTTGCTTTTTTGTTTAGTACTGTATCTTTGTCAGGTGTTTTAGATACAGTCTTTAATTTCCTCTTTTGTTCAGCAAGAGCAGCTTGTTGTTTGAAGTACTTTTCAAGATCGGACAATTGAGAACCTTTATTGACACTCCTAGAATAATGTAAAATAATTATTAAATTTAATCGTGAAAATTTGAATTATTTAAACACTGAGGTTTGTCAATTGTTACATTCAAAATTTAACACTTAAAATTGCAAGTAAAATAATTTAATATCGTACCCTCCTTTTTGCTCTAAAGCTGACTGTTTAAATACTGCTTCAAATGGAGTAATTTCTCCAATCTCGACCTGCTTTTGCAACTCTGCCTTATGATTCTCTTTGCTACTAACTTCGATATTTCCTTCGGCATTTGATTCAATATCATCATCTTGTATTCTATGTTGATTGTTTGATTTTGTAGTATGTTTGATGTGTTCTGATACTTCTTGCAAAATGCTATCTTCTGTTTTAACCAACAATATCTGTAGACATCAACAAATATTATTTTATAGAAAAAGAGGGGAAAGGATATTGAACAAAACATTTGATTATTTTAATGTGGCACAGTGCCACTCTAACATTCTAACCTAAACAATTGCTTGATGTTATTGAATTACCTCTTGCAAATCATTTGGAAACTCGTCGCTTAGCATATTTCCTATCGTGTCGTGAGCAAGACTCGACACACCGCTGTCGTTATTACTTGCTACTGCCATGCTGACTCTGCCACACTAACATATCATTCCACGACGAAGATGTCTGTTATTAAGATGGATCCGAAATCGATCTCCCAAACATACTCATTACAGGATCGTGCATACAGACATAAATCGCATAAATCAATCAATTATTCGTAAAAATCGTCATTCAAATCTAAACCGGTTCGACAAAACCCCCATCCCCCTGTAATCTGCGAATTCTGCGATTGTTTTTATCGCGCAGGAATTGCTGCCTATTTTACCGATCGAATGTCGCTTTAAATTCAAATTCGCGTATCATATTTCGACGAATGATGCATTATAATCTGATGAATGGACATAAATTACGCAACATGTTGAAATAAGTCTACGAATACATCAATATGCTAAGTATATGTTGCGTTCATATTAAATGTATGCCTCATTTGCATATTTGTGAGATTAAAAGGAAAACTCAATTTATTTTTTGATAAGAAATAATATATTTAATTGTTTAATTAATACTGATATCTTAAATATGTAACATATAATCTTCATCAGAATTTACAATAAAAATAATTCACATTTGTTTCGTATAATTAACGAGAGTGTCATTTCTCTTAAATTAAATCAAAGCTTTGCGTTTTTTCGCTGATATAAACATATATATGTTACAAATATGTATCATCAGAATTCAATAAACAATGATTTTTCTCATAATTCTATATACTAGATTGTAATTTTTTTAATCAAATTGAAAGTGTGCTCGCATCCTTTAATTTGCTTATTAAAGTGGTAATAAATTAAATAAAACAATAACGGCGAACTCGAAATAAAACAATTATGAAAGAGAAATAGAGAAAAAAAATTGTCTGTTTTGTAAAAAAAAAACTACAGTTTAAGATAACATATTTAAAGAAGCACGAGATTTCGCAGGTTTACGGTTTATGGGTATGCGAAAACCATCGGCGGTTCTATAGAATTTCCTCTCGGGCGATCGAATAGGTGTTATATTAATGTCCGCGGATTTCATAAAATCCGATGATGCCAGAGAATATCTGTAAATACAGGGTATAATAAAAACAGAGGATATCATGTAATATCATTTAGACATTTTATTTTTGAATTATCAAAATTGAATGGCATAATATAATTGTATGTATGTAACGTAATAACGAATCTCACAAGGAGGATTTCGTTCAAAAATATAAAATCGTTCTTTTTATATTGTTCAAAATTCATACTTTACCCTGTGCTTGACTGATTCGAAATACCGGAGTCAGTCATCGGCGTTTCCATTCCGCGGAATCGCGAAGTTTCCTTATTGGCCATCAAGAGTAGCACTTTCTTGTCGAGCTTATCCTTCTCGTTCTTCAAAGCAATGTACTTTTCGGTCAACGCTTTCAAATTGCGATGTTCTAACCAGTATCGGGTTTTCAGTACCTCGTATTTTTTATCCTTTAAACGCGTCATCAATAATAACAATTAAAAAAATATAATATATGTAAGAGACGAAATATAATAAAATGAAATCATAAAAAATTAAACTAGGAAAAATCAAAGAAAATAGGAAAGGTAGGTTCTGATTTTATATACAAGATCGGAAACGCTGCATTTGTTATTTTAAACTGATGATTGCTGCAAAATGTGACCGACGGAATTTAAGGAAAAATAGAAGGAAAGAAATAACAGGAACAAATAAGGATTGTAAAATACGAAATGTAAAAATAACACAGCACAGATCATTCCAGCATTTCAACGTTTCAGTAATATTGCAATTAATGTTGTAAACATTGCAACAATATTACTGCAAGCTTCTGTGCTGTATAGAAATAATAAGAAATTATTATAAAACTAGAAGAAACTAAGTGATAAGAATAGGAGACTCTGATTATATGTACGAGTTCTTGGAAGCGCTGCATCGTTATTTTAAGTTGATTGCTGCGGAACAAGTCCACCTTTAACATCATTTCCATAGACTCGGCAAAAGGCTGGAAGAACGGCATCACCTTCGGTATCAGCGGCTCTTCCAATGCTAACGAGATAGTGCCGACACGCTGACATTGCGGACACTGTTTCTCGACTGTAAAGTCGTGAATCGAAGATGAATAGAAAAAAAATCGTGGAAAGTATATATACATCATAACGTGAAATATTTCTGAAAATTTTACATTGCTGCAGACAAGTCTGGCAGGAGATGTGACCGCACTGTGTAATGTGGAACGGACGTTTTCCTCTATAAAGCGGAGTGAAGCATTTGTTGCAGATCAACGTGTTCATTTGCGACATTTTGAAACGCTGAAACAGTCAATTACGCGTAATTTTTAAAACTACTCAAGTAGAACAAAAAGCGATCGCGACATCAAAATGGCGTCATAATGACTCCAAAATGAATATTAAAAATCACTTGTCGATCAGTCACGATTTATTTTAATCGTCATTTTGATGTAATCGTGATTTATTGTTTTAGTTGAGAATTGATTTTTCTCTTTCTCTCAAGTAAATCGCAATATGAAACGTGAGAGACTTATTAATCTTTGATCATTTTCGACGAACAATCCGTTACGCGTAATTAAGGCGTAAAAAGTGAAATATATCTACTGGATAATATCCCAGTAAACGAGAATGGATTAAAATGGATTGAAATTTTTTTCTATCTGAATGCGTATTTTAAATATAGCGAATACTTTTTTTGGATTTAATTGAATGCAATTGGATTAAAAAGTTGTATTTCCTATTCAAAATTTTGAATCGAACAGTATTCACAATGCACAGAAAAAGCTGATATTATTTTTAGATTGAAAGGCATAGAGATATGCTCCATGCAATTCCTATAAATGAATAAAAATGCATTCAGGATTGAAAAGCATATTCATTTTAACATTCGTGAATCCATATTTCTGAAAATCTGAATCCATTTCAATCCATTCTCGTTTACTGGGATGTTAAATAAAATTGAAACTTACTTTTGTACACGTATACGTTTAACTTGATTAATCGGATACTATTTTTTCGTAAAAATAAATAATGATACTATTTAAAATTGCTAGTGATGTTAGAAATCAAAGCCGCTCACTTTCGCGCCGTTCTTCACAATGCGAGTCAACAAAAGATAGATTTGCGATGATTTGCGATAGTATACTGTTTCTCCCGCATCTGCGACGGAGACAAAAGAGTAAAAAGAAAATCGAAACAATCGAAGTAAAATATGTAAAGCCGGCGGCGAGAAGTCAACTTCAGGAAATTGCAAAGCGGCAACTTCAACTACTTCCAAGTCGGTTCGCTCCGAATAGTCCGAATTGACGTCCAATAGGAAAGTCTGACTCTTAGGAATTTCAGCAACCTAACCGCAACGTCACTAGGACTGCGTTCGGAAATATCACCCGAGTGTCCTCGCCTGTCGTTTTATCCTTGTTATTCACCCAATGTTAAATAAAGATAAAACGATACACGGAGGCATCCGGGTGAGGTTTCCGAACGCAGCCTAAGATGCGCGAGGGACCATCCTGATTCATCCGGAAATCGTCGAGCCAATCCGGTTCAGCCTCGGGAAAACGAACGAGCAGAGTCGCGCCGTTGCCTGTATCGCGATCGCAACGTCGCATGCGTAGGCATATCAGTAATATCAGTATCAGTTTTTCGGTACACGGTTACACGCAGGTGCATAACGCGTCGATTGTTCACAGCGGTGACGATTATCGGGCGTAAAGGTGCGAACACTTCGCGGAGTACCGTCGCGGGTCATCGTGATTGCGAAAAATGCGACAGCCGGGCGTATGAGCGAACCCCTAGGTAAAAGAGAAAAGAAAAAAAAAAAATTAATGAAAAGGGAAAAATCGACGTGTTTCCGTGCGCGGACATCGTGCACGATCCCGTAACAATATAAGTACGCCGCGCGACGGCAACTGCCATTTGCCGTATCCGATTCGTTCGGGTCCCGGCCGTTCTTTTTTTTTCCCCTCTCTTTCTCTCTCGCTCTTGTTCTCTCCGTCTCTCCCCGTGTCTCCCTGTCGAACGTTGCATCTCGCTCTTTCGCGGACACGATTGTCGCGATCGCCTCCGTGATATGATACTCCTCCGTCCCGAGGTGCGATAGCCTCCGTTTACTCCGTTATCCGTGAAATCGAGCCTGATAGCCGCCGCATCGCCCCTCCCCTCTTTCCCCCTTCACCACCCACCGATCTTCTTCGTTTTTTTTCGCGATCGCGAACCCGCTGCCGTCGCCGCCTCCTCCCGCTTCCGCTCGCGTTGCGTGTCCGCGTTCGCGAGACGCCTGGTAAGTGATTGTCGTACGACCGGACGACGCCGAGTGCTCCGACGCTTCGGCTGTATACGCGAGCCTCTCGGCGGAGACAAACCAATCGACTCCGCAAGGTAAAAGTTGGAAAAAATGGATGGAGTTGTAAACTGATCGCGCGCTCTGAAATGATGACGCTTTAAAAAAGTGTAGTCGATCGGTCTCGGAGCCGTCGACTCGTATCCATAGTCGTGGGGATTCTCGCGGTCGCTGGGCGTTCCTGAGGGAAAGGACGGAATTCGTCGACAATCTGTCCCTCTTGACTTTACGTACCGTATCTGTGCTTTTTCGTCGTTTGAAATAAGTGTCCTCTCGGAGATACGAACGAACAGACGGAGAAAAAGAGGAAGATCGTAAGAGATCGCAGCTGAGAATTTCAGCTTCGACTGATCGTCACTTTTTTTCTCTACAAAAAATTTTGAAACTATGATAGCTATATAATTAACAATTGAACGAACAAACGTTGGTTCGAGCGCTCAATAATAATAACAAATAGTAGATTAACAATTAAATATATAAAGGAAGTTTAAAATTGCGGACGAGGGAAAGTTGGATTTTATTTTTTTTTTTCTTCAGATTTTACTATGAATTTTGCTTCGAATTTTAATTGATTTAATATTATTTTGAAAAGAATAATTTGATGTTATCATTATGGACAGGTGAATAATAAGTTGTGCCACAGTCCTTGAAACGTGCAAGAGCAAAATAGTCATGGAATCATCAGATAGTAGAAAGAACGTATATCTTACAAAAACCGGTGACAATTCTTTGAACTCTGGAATGAGAGAGACTATGATTGTCGGCCAGGCTAATATGGTACCAGGTATGTATTTGGAATAAGTATTATGTAGATTCATCCTGGCTGTATAACCCATGTATTTTCTTCGCAGAGTGTGGTGCAGAAGGTGTGATGAAACCCACCAATGTATCCAACGTTTCTACTAATCAGACAAAGTGGACTAATGGCGGCTCTAAAAATTATATCACAATACCGGTGAAGAACGAGGTGCGACAATTAACACAATGCCTTAAAAATATTTGAGTTTATAATGACCCAAACTTAAACCATATAAAAAATGCAATTTAAACAATCAGAAAAGAAGAGGATAAATTGTTATTTGAATTAGATCTGTGTTTACGGAATATAAATGAAAAATTTATTATAAAGTTTTTCGTGATGTCTTCTTATTAATGATAGTTAATACTAATCTATACTGTACTAAAATTAATGATAATTAATACTGATCTGTTTCACAGGTCGTACATCTCGAAGATGGTAATGCTCATTGCAACAACAAGAAAATGTATTATTACGATAGACACTACACTGGACATGAGGAACCAGAGAGACCACGCAGAGGAACAAAGAGATACAGAGATAAGGACGCACCAAAACGGGCACTGTACGTTAAATTGAAAACGAATGATATTTAGACAGAAACATATTTCAAAGAATTATGTTTCAAAGATGCATTAATAATATTAACTTTTGTTTTTTTGTTTTGCCATGATTTTATCAGTGAAGATTTTTGCAAATCCGGACAGGATTTGTCGATACAAAACAATATCCAAATGTTAAAGTTTTCTTATAATACTTACAGTGATTTGATATGTTATAGATCTGCATTTTTCTACTTCTGCCAAGAACTACGTGGCAAGATGAGAGAATTGCACCCCGAGATGGGAGTAGGTGACATTGCAAAGGAATTAGGAAAATTGTGGATGAGTACGGATTTACAGACAAAATCCAAATATATGGCCATCGCGGAAGAAGACAGAGCTCGATACGAAAGAGTATGTTTATACTGAAACACATATTAAACACATTTGATTTTATATTCCGTTGATTTACATTAATATATGGTAATTGATTATCTTGACATTCACAAGTTTAATGAAACGATTTTTAATGCGTAGGAAATCATCGCGTACAACAAGAGAGTTAAAAATTATGATCCAGAAGAAGTTGGGACCGTATAAATTATAACATGGACCCATGGGACGGACAAGGATGACAACATTATTCTAATTCGAGAACTGCAGATAGACGGGGTCTATTAGACTTGAAACAGACAAGCGAGTTTTACTACTACTAACCTAGAATTATCGTTGTATATATTATGTATACTGTTGATATTGTCCGGAAAAGAAAGAAATTGTCTCTCAGAAATTTGGTTATATACTTACAATGATAAAAAAGAAGCCAAATTCGAAAAAAGAAGAGTTCCATTTTGTAATGAATTTCTATATCGTAAGCAAATGCTATATGACTAACATGTGCATTATATAATATATATATTTTATATTTAGTTATATATAATATATATATTATATATACATGCATATATATATCATAACTATGTGTAATGAGCACAATAGAATCTTCTCCAAATCTATTTCATCATGCTTATGATTATTTGAGCGTTCCTTATATTACTCATGTAATCTATTCATTTGATCGATCGAGCGTTCGAATAATCAGAATCTTACTATATGCGTTTTAAGGATAGAAAAATAATAGTAATTCGAGTAATTGCTATGCTATTACAATGCGTTAATATTAAGCAATTATAGCGATAATGTTCGCGAATAATAAAAAAAAAACGTACATAATGCACCATGCACCTATATTGCATTGTAGAGTTACAGTAGATCGCTTCGCCGAGACATAAGAAATGGTGCGAATGAAAGAAATTAACTAAGCGGAACAATAAAGAAAAAGCAAGCTAATTCGGATAATTAAGATGGAACTATGTGCAACATGCGACAAATTTATCGCAGAAGATTGTTAAGGATAATCTCGCTACCTCGTAATAATTGATTTTATCAACGGAAATATGATTTTAATGATGCAGTGGGCAAGAAAAAGTATGTATTGCAAAACTGATTGTTTAAAAATTGAACGTCGACGATACTTATTGCTTTAGAAAAAAAAGTATATAATGCCAAGCATAGGAATACTAAACGCATTGTTAGAAGGACAAAATTAAAAGATAATTATATAGCAATACCTAGTATTTTTACCATAGTTGTTGCAGCACCATATTAATTATCATAATAATTAATGATGATAGAGAATTAAAAATTTTTTATATTTGTTAAATTTGAAGTTCGCTGAAAACGGACGATTTCTAATAAAATATCTTTGTAAGAAAAGATCATCTTCTGAGGAAACATAAACTCTTCAAACAGTTCAGACAAATCAAAGTGTAAATGGATAAAACGTTCAAAGCTTTTTTTATCTCGCTGTTCAAGTATCTTGTTTACTAGACAATTTTTATTTCTCATTATTTTGTTATTACTTGATACGTCTGTATCTTGAAAGATATTTAATTAAGTACCTATTATTTTCCGTTTACAATAAGTTATTGAATAAAAAGCAATACTTGCTAATGTTTCTTTTATATTTCAAGACGAATCTACGTTCATACATTTCTTTACCCACTGTGAATGTTTTTAACGAGTTAAATTTACATCCACACAAATTATTTCATCTTCATAGGCAAAATAGAAGGATAGATTGAAAATCCTTATCGAGAGGCTCAATCAATCGAAAAAGCGAGTTAATAATGATAATAGTGACTGCTAATAAGCATGTTGAAGGTACAATAGAAAGTAAAAAAGAAAACAAAAAACCGAGGTCTTTATACATGTCTTTATCCGACGCTACACATATTCATACTTTAAGCATAGATATATAAATATATCAGGGAATTATATCAAGCTCCCGAAACGATGGAACGTATATTCTATGTATTTTCTTTTTTTTTTCAATAAAGGTAAAATAGATAAAAATGCATTGATTTCACAGAAGTTTATTTCTGGTTGTAATAATAAACTGCGCACTCTTATCCTTTTCCAAACTATATCGTCACCCACGATTTCTAAAACGGAATCGCGAGCACGCATTTTGTACATTTTTACATCGTGCCAGCTTCTACACGTACGAGAAGTGCAATGAAATGCAAGTAAAATAACAACAAAATTTTGATGCTGGCATATGTATATACATGTTAGACTATACGGCATAGCACATATATACATATGCATGTTATATATTATATTTTTATATATTATATATACATCTATTTTTTGTTATATATATATATATCTTTTTCGAATGGACATCTTATAAAATACATATACATATTAACAAGTAAAAATTGATATTACACACTTATCACATAACTAATATTACACGAAAAATTTTGCCACATAATGTTACGTCGTGTCACTGCTACTTAAACCGTTCTTTTGGTCTAATTTATTCGCATTGGTCTTAACTGTATATATGAAAAAGCTTAGAGCTTCCTTCTCCACGACGGGGATGGTCTTGAAATGCTTCATGAGAGTCTGCAATAAGAATTTGATGATACGTTATTTTCTAAAATTGTCATGAAAACATCAAGAAGCAATCGTCTTTATTCATTGTTAGTATCAAAGTTATTAAACAATAATAAAGCACCGTACAGTGAAAATGTAATGGAAAGAGAATATAGGGATTCTTCATTTTAGGCCTATTCTTTGCAGCTGAATATCTTGTATCTTCATCTTTTTTCTTTTTTTTCTCCAATATGAAAGAAGAGAAAAAATGAATCCCTCGTGCAAGAAATCTAGCTGAAAAAACTGGACCTTTCATTTATACTCAAAATTCGAATGCGAAACGAATTCGTAGGAGAACCAAGGATTAGGTTTAGGTGCAGACGAAACATTTATTGGAGTAGGCGGTACAAGGCGGGGCTTCTCCCTTCCAGTGCACTTCCCTTGCCCTTGAATTAATAGACCTGTTCTTTGTTCTGAATTGATCCATATTGATCCATGATCCATATTACGAATATAAGCGGATGTATTTAAACGACACTTTTGCGAACTTCAAATTTATGTCTATTTTAAATACACTTATAGGGACCGTATTCTTAAAAAAATATCGCATATAAATATTTACAAAAATAATAGCATATATAATATTATACGTATATCATAAATTTATCTAGTATTTCATAAGCGATATTTTTCGAGAATCAGGGACTAGTTTGAATAAAGAACATATCTAAAGATAAACGTATTGCGCTTTTTCAAAAGGTTAATTATTATCGTTTTTTATCATATTTTCACTGTATGTTTTATTTTGTTTTTTTATCTTTGAAAGTAATAATGAATGATATAAATCTATTTATTATTAATCATTTAACAACATTCATTGGGAAAAGATCTGGGAAGAAAAGTTATTTGGTCCATATTTACACCTTTTTATCGATAAGTGTGCGGATTTTATATGTAGTATATGTAATGTAAACTATATGCTAAATGTACGATGCATTTATCGCTAAAAGTGAGGTGTGAATACGGACTTTCATTTATCTATTTGTTTTTATATATCTTGAAACATCCTAAAATAGATATATTTTATATAATACGCTTTTTACAAATAATTTAATTTGTATAACAATTACGACTATGTTTATATTTAATACGTTGCATATAAGTATATATACATATTTAACTTGTTATTTATTGCACGTGCTAGATAAAAAATGATTTTACTATACTTACATCCGCTAACTGAGCTTTGTTAAGACCTGGTCGGGTAGAAACCTTGTAGTGCCTTTTGTACCGCCTTAGAGTACCGACTTGTAGTTGGAAGAGGTCAACTTCTGGGACGTCATTGTCAGTTTCACCCGAGTCTTCTTCGGAATCCTTGCGCCTTCGTTGCTGCTGCTGTTTGGTTCTTGCGCACTGGATCACTTGCTTGTGATAATCGCAGATGTATATGTGTCGTGCCTGTACATAATACATAAATAAACATAAATTAATAATAAGAACTACGAGCCAATTAATGATACTATATTTAAATATTAAACATACGAGTCATTATAATATTATTATTATTATATAATACATAAAGAAAGAATATAAAAGAATAGCAAGAATTATCGTACACAAATTCAAATAGTTCGCATCGATATCTTGCATCGAAAGTTCTGCCGTTCTGAAGTTTATTTCATCAAATGTCAATTCGCCGCAAACGAAAATTTTCAAATAAAGTGATATCTTATCATGTATACATATAATACTATGTCAAAGTGATTATTTTATAAAAGAATGCGCGCATCGATATGTAAAAGAATTCTTTGGAAATTCAGACTGTCTAATGTTAATTCTCTGACGTCTTTCGTGCCATGCGCGCTTTTTTTGTAGAAACAAGACACGAAATTAAATTATATTAAAAATAATAAAGAAAAATAGGAAACGTATATAATAATAATAGAAAGATAATTATATATTAAAAATATATTTTTGATAATATTTTTGATAAATATAATTTTGTCAACTGAATAATCCGCGCATCATTTTCCACGTTCGTCTTCTAACAGTCTCCATTTTCCTTTATTATTTTTTATTTAGTTTCGAAAAACAATAACGTTTACTCATATAAATTATATTGCAACAAATATAATTTATTTATTCATTTATTTCTCCGTTATATTTCTCTATCAATACTAAATACAATCATAATTAAATAAATGTGAATAATCGAATTATACAATGTATCAATTGCAGCTACAGGTATTTACAGAAATCTTGTAAAAAAATTCTCTTGAGAAATTCCGGATTTTCCAGGTAATTTTGTTCGCAATTCCAAAGTAAGATAAGAAAGAACATTTTTTAAATGAGCTTTAAAATAAATTGGAATGCAAGTAATGCAAATTGTATATTGTAAATTGTATATTGTAAATTAGCAGAAGCTAGCAATTTCACGAAATCATACCTATTATTTTCTACAATTAGAGCCACGACACCTATAGGATAGTATAAGAAATTTTCGCTATAATATTAATAACTATCTCTTCTGCTGAGTGTTTTGTTTTGTTTTACTGTCACTGATTGTTTTTATAAAAATTCACGAACACAAAGAAAATACGTGAATATATGTATACGAACGTATCTATCACATTTATTGCTAACCGATTGTTAATATT